GCCTTCAAAATGAAGACATAAATCCTGAGGATGACGTTGTAACATCGAAACATGTAGAGTCATAAACTTTTTGAAGGCCATAGATAGGCCTAAATAAAATGTTTTTATTTGTGTACTAGTTTAACATTGAGTATTATTTATGATTTTAACTTTATACACAAGTGCCAAAATACTATAATTATAACTAAAGTATATAATTTGAAATATCACTTAGCTTTTCAGTCTTGTGTATTTTAAAAACTCTTTCCCATTAGAGTTCATGACCATCTTATCATAAAAATCTAATTTGTAAATGACTTAACTAAAATTCATAATAACTTCTATTCACTTAATATAGTTCGCATCATAATAATGGTTGCTTGTGAAACAGAGAGTGACACGTTCCACTACTTTGTCTGTTGTATTACAGCTGATCTGATGCTAATGGAGGAAAGGCCTTGTTGGAACTGGATATAATGTTACTGACATATACTGACATGACCACTACTTTGTCCATTGTATTACAGCTGATCTGATGCTAATGGAAGAGAGGCCTTGTTGGAACTGGATATAATGTTACTGACATGACCACTACTTTGTCTATTGTATTACAGCTGATCTGATGCTAATGAAGGAAAGGCCTTGTTGGAACTGGATATAGCAAATAGTGTTACTGACATATTCTTCTTGATTTTCTCTCATAAGTTCTTAAAATTTACAGCAAAAGGCTTAAAAGTAGTCGAACAATGTGGTGAAAATGTATAGCACCAGTTATGACTTTGTGTCTTCTGTATTATCATTTCAAACCTAAAACTTCTCAAATGGAAACTGTGATTTAAAAAAAAACGTATAGATTACCTCTTTGTTTGTTGTTGAAAAAAATGTTCATTGTGATGGTTACGATGAACTGTACATGCACGGTACTTTAAGAACCCTAGAAGTTGCACTTGTTTAAATGTTTCGTGACTTTTTTTTAGTTTTTGGGAGATCAAATGGTGAAGGATGCTGGATTGAGTTGTCGTTTCGTGATATCCAAGAAGCCAGAGGGAGCACCAGTCACAGAAAGGTATTGCTTTATGGCTTTGGTATTTTGTATCTTGGTTACATAATTTATGGTTCATAGAAAATAAAGATTTGTCAATAATTTGACAGATAAATTCAGGCGAACAATATTAAAAATAGGAGAAAAGTAACTGAACATGTGTTATTTAAGGTTAAATTTTTCATTGTTTTTTCAGTGTTTCATTTAAGGTAACAGACTTGATCCATAAGACACGACTCTGTGATATTTTGAAAGCTGTACTGATGAAAATCAGAATTAACAAATGAGACCTAATGATCTTTTTAACGTCTTTGGAAATCAATCATCATAGTTTGCTTTAAGATATATATATATATATATATGAGGTTTAAAATTTTATTTACAAAATACATCTTCCTGCAGGGCTGTTCCATTAGCTATTTTCCACACTGATCCCAGTGTGTCTAAACATTACCTCAGACGATGGCTGAAGTTTCCTTCACTTGCAGATGTAGATATTCGTGCAGTAAGTTTGTTATTTATTCATCACTGATGTGTTTTCTTTAATTCATTATAAATTTATATATTTTTTGAGGTATGCGTGTAAAATAAAAGAATTAATTTAAAAACTACCATAAAATGCATACATAAGCTATTTCTGATACTTTAGTAAAGCCAGTTTGTTAACTCTGGGTTTATTATTTTTTTAATCATTAAAATGCCAGATGTTTTACGTTCAATTTTTTTTATTCTTTTGTGGATTCTGTGTTGGATCATTAAAATCCACTAATGATCCAGTTGGTTAGTATAATCCATTATAAATAATCCAGTAATGCCAAGAAAGAGACTCCATTTTTATTATACTCAGATTAATAATAAACATCGTGGTGTACATAGGCAGTTGATAAACAATATTCCAGCATAATGAAATGGTTTTATTTTGGGGAACATACTATATATCTTGACAGAACGTTGGTCTGGTTTCTTTTAAATAAATCTCGTAAATTGTTTGTCAATTTGTGGTTATACTGGTGAATACAAGCACTGTAATGTATCGAATACGATGTTCTTGTTTTCAGATATTAGATTGGGAGTATTACATCGAGAGACTGGGAAGTACTATTCAGAAAATTATTACAATTCCAGCAGCTCTTCAGCAGGTAAAGATACTAGTTGTAGACGAATGGTCAGTTACAGGGCTGATTTATTGGTCACTAAAATCATGGAGTTATTTCTCTGAGAATTAGACTTTTGATAGGCTAGTAACTTAAATGGGATCTCCAGTGTCTTTGTTTTTGAAAAAGTACTTTCAGTAATATATTTTGCTGAATTACGCTTAACAAGTCAGTTATCATAATATTACTGATTCCCATTTTCATAAATTATAGTTAAAACAGAAACCTTTAAAAGACGTTTTCATCAAAATGGAATAGGTCTTGTCATTTGTTTTAGAATTTTAGAAAACTACTTACCTTCAAATTCAGGATTGTTAAAAGTTAATAAAAAAAATTAAAGAAATAAATTGACCTTATGATGCAAAGTTTAATCCAAAAATATGTAACTGCTAAGATCTCTGAATGGTTATGTTTTTAAGCATAAAATTACGTTAAATTGTTTGTTACAGTGGAGTTAAAAGCTTTGTGAATAGTATCCATGGGCATGAGTAAGTTGTACAGTATTTTTCTAGCATCACACCTGTAGTGATGATAAATAAACAAAAATTATTTCTTATGAACTAAAATGTTACACACCTCTTTAATTTCAAACGATACACTCAAAACTTTTAATTTTATTGAACTGATAGAGTGAAATAATAAATTACTTAATTTTTTTTTAATTCTGTAGCAGACTAGAAGACCAAACAGATCATGAAAAACACAAGTATAAAACGTATGTATAGCATTTGTAAACATACGTTGTCAACTAACTGCTGAATATTTTAAAAATATTTCTACTCAGAATTTGTATTTGCTTATTCTTTTTAATAATATTTGTTGTCTAAGTATCCATAAAGTGAATAGGTTTAAGAAGTCAATTTAACATAAAGATACTATGCTCTATGACCTCAGTTTTTGACCTCTATGACCTTCAGTCTACATTTATGATTATTTTGGTTAATATTGGTTCTGTGTTTTGTTTTTTTGTAAAAAAAAAATTTTCGTTTCAAGGTGCCAAACCCAGTACCTAGAGTGGCACATCCTGATTGGCTTCATAAACGTCTGTTGGAGAAAAACGACACCCTCAAACAAAAGAAAATTAATGAACTGTTTTCTATTGCACCAAAACCATTGGAAGTAGAGAGTCAGGTATTTATAACCGTTTTTTTTTAATATCCATTGGATTAAAATGACACCCTGGGCCAAGTGTGTCCCAGTAGTTAGTATGTCAAACTATGGATTTACTGTTTGAGATAAATATTTGTTTTGAATCTCTCTAAAACTCTATTTTTACATAATTGTGGATTATCTTATGATGTAAAAAGTACTTGAAAATAACCTTATCATTGTGGAATATTATCTAAAACCCATCTTCAGTGTCTAAAGCAAAATAAAAGAATTGTTACGACAGTGGAAGTCATGTGACACTGGTAACACGTAATGAGTTCTAGAAAGATCGGGGAACATCACGAATAATCCAGTATTTGCTAGGCACCCTCTATTCTTGTATATAAGTTTCCCAGACAATGAATAGATATAGATAATTGCAGACAGACAGAGACAGATAATTGAGTCAAGTGCGGAAGTAAAGTGCATGAATCATTGTGAATTATAGCATGTGTTTAAGTCGAAGTGACTGTGGAAATTAAGTGTATTATAAAGTTGTATTGAGAGGGAATAAACTAGTTTTATTTAAGAAAGGACTTGTATCCCTGAAGTTTCATTGGAAATAAATTATACGGAAAATTAACAAGCGAACAG